CTTTGTTATTTATTTATAGGAAGGATTCATACTTGGACTAAACAACACAAGTGTGCCCAAACAGACCTATTAAATTAAAAAAAAGAAGTATTTTCTGTATTTTTTTAACTGATTATGTGTTTGCTTTCAGACAAAGTAAAAACATCAAGTGTGGCCACCGCTCAGTGGTGGTTCTTGTCCGGTGATCCATCTGAACTTTCCTCTTTCTGAGTCTGATCAAATATTTAACATAAAGTCATGATGTTTTGTTACTGGTCCATGAATGGTTTGTTGTCCAGTCAAGTTTATTGGACCGATGGCTTAGAGGCATTTTATGTAGCATCCTTGTTCAATAAAACAAGACAAGTCTTAAAATTATCTTTGTTTTTACTCCCTCAACCTATTCGAGTTTAGAAAGGTTAGGTGGGCTGATAAAATATTTATTTTTATCCATTTTTTTCCATTAAAATTATATGTAGTTCAAACAAATTGTGCATGTTTAGCATGAAATCATCTGTTTAAATTACTTTAAAAAATAGAAACATGTTTTCAGTGTCAATCAACAATTATCCAAACATTTGTATATTTACAGATAAAAAACCATGAGGCAGATAAGAAGATGTGATTCTCATTGACACTCTCTGTTCCGTGTTTAGTAAGAAAAAAACTGGGCAATAAGATAATTTAGGTAGGAGTAGGTAGTGTTGGGGGGAAATAAACAATATTTTAATGAACGCGTAAGCCCAAGTTTTTTAGGTGTGGTAGGGACATTGCCCTTCCCCAGATTCCACCTTCTGATTTTGAGGTAATGAAGTCAAAGCTCAGGACGGCATTAAGTTTAAATGCCTTTAAATATCTGTAACATTGTAAGGTATGGTTTATGTAACTTAGAAGGAAAAATGCTGATTGTCATTAGTTTTAAGATGAGTCCATTTGATTATAAGTTCAATGTCTCAGTGACATGTAAACTCACTGTCCAAAGTTTTTGAACATTAGCAGGGACATGGCATAGACAAGTAATAGAAATTGAGCATTAGCTTGGAAGTAATTCGGTCAAAGGTCACAATGGCTTTTCATACATCATAAACTGATAAGGGATAGGCACAAGTTAATACAATTTTGTTGGAATTAAGATATCATTAATTTCCTCCTACAATATTGGCCATCTTCACGCAAGACAACATGGATTAAACTATGACTGTAAAGAAGTCACTGGTGTACAATTTTGAGAGTGAGAAAAAGAAGTTCTGCTGTTCATTTGAAAATATTTTATTGTTTTAATGCCAATGTTCAAATACATTTTTCAATTTATCTGTGTTTTTTTTTTTTTTTGTTATTTTAACAATATTTCAAAATGTGTCCTGCAACGTGCTAAGAGAATTGGAGTGTAAATTAACATTAAAAAGTATTTGTAAAACATTGTTACAATGTGTGATCTTATTTGAATTTTAAAAAGGTACATTTGACATCAGAAAATAGAGAAATAAAGAATTCCTGAAGAAAGCCCAAAACGACAAAATCAAAAATGTAGCAGACTCGATTTGGTGAGCCTGTTCATGGACGATACTGGAAATGCAAGTTACCTTCCATGCGCCCTTAGCACCGGCTTAAGCGGAATTTAACATTTGAACATTAAGTGGTGAAATTTGGAATTTAGAATCATCCGCATTTAATTTTTTTAAGTTTGCTTTATAGATTTGATAAACAGTTATAGCACAATCTCTGCAGTGAGTCACTGATCTAAATATTTAAGAGTGGATACTCTGGATATGTTAAAGGCCAAGCTTTGCACTGAATAGCAATGCGAGAAGAAAATTTCAAATGGGAGTAGATTTTTGCAATATTATAGGGGATAGTTAACAAGTTAACTTGTGAAAACACAATTTTTTTATAATAAGTAATAAAACCTGATGAAGAAAAAACAATTTTCCATCTGATTAAATAAATATAAAACAATTCACTCTTGGCTAAGATGTCATAATTCTTTCATACAAGGAAAAAAACACTTTTATATGCTGTTGTGCCATATATATGACTTGAGTTTGGGACTTAATTCTTGGCAATCTGATTTTCAATGAATGGAACTGTTCATTGTAAAGATATTAATATTTAGCAGAGGCTGCACTGTAGCAGAGGCTGCATTGTGTGTGTATTGGATTGAATTTCTCATTAGTACATTATTCTCAATAATGAGCACTTTTACAAAAGGCTGTTACAAAAATCAGGTCTTGAGTGATCATTTTCAAAATTTTAGGCATCTGAAGTTCAGATTCTGAACTATAATTTGGTCTTTTTTCAGTCTTATTTGCTAATTAAATTAAAGTAAATACATTATCATATATCATTCGGTGGAATCTGTATTGGCTTTGGTTGTCTGGTTATTTAATTTGATGACACCATAAAGTTTATTACTGTACATCAGCTTGCCAAATTATCTTTTTTTTCCATTATATCAGATATCATATGCTTGATATCAATTTATATTCATAATATATACATAACGCGCACTATGCCATGTTATTTCGATACAAAAATAAAGGAAGTTTAGCGAGGTACGTTTCAGTTCTGGTACGAACCGGTTATAAAGAACATACGATCTAGAACACCTCTGTAATTTCCTGATTTCAACACCAATGTCGAATTAACAACAGCAACGCCCGTACGACATAAATCATTGGTAATTTTATTAGAATGTTTATCTGCTTGTTTACAAAACAGTAGATCTAGGGAGAGTCTCAAGACTTTGTTCTGTATTCGATTCTGATTTTGATTTGCTTGTCCAAACAAGCGTTTTTAGTCAAAATGGGAGGATATAAGCTATATTCATTAGCTAATTAACAGCTTGTTATATCGTTTATTTATTACAAACATGAAATTGCATCGGCCATTCATATTACATTTCGTACAATTGAATGACTATTGAAGTGTCGCAAGTTTGTTGATGTTTCTAATTATAGCATTATCAAACATGTTTCTAATTATAGCATTCCGAACTTTTCCGTATGCAAATGAGTTAATTCCGAATGAATCCGATCGGCCCCGAGATCTATTACAAATGGCGGGGATTTCGAATCATGGCGATATTAAATTCAGTTGCAGCCGAGTGTTTCGGCGAAATAAGATTGAAATTGTATAGCAGTTCATCAGTAATGAGGATATATTTATGATTTAGGTGAAAATTATGAAAACTAAGATGTAAGGTAAAATATCATCGTTCAACGGTAATATAACTTTAAGTTATCCCTTAACCGACTGTACTTTTGCGGATGTGACGATAACCTATACGTGACGATTGTATTACTTTTTCAAAACATTACCTATATACTAAACATTAATTTTCATAAAATCGATGGAAAAAAAAACCAAAATGGGGAAGGATTGAAATTTTTCTATAAGTTTCAAAATTTAAAGTTAAAACAGACTATAAAAATCTTTATTTTATATACATTTTAGTTGAATTCAAAAGACTTTTAAAAAACTCGAAATTTTTCGACGTCGTGCTTTTTCCGTCCCAAAAAAACACTTGTTTTAAACCCCAGGTGCCCCAAAAAGATGTTGGGGGGGAAATCAAATTTCGGTTAGGAGAAAAAGGCAACGAGGGTGGGTTTTTTAAAAACATTTTTTTTTATCTTTTTTCAGTTTCAAAATTTCCCCCCTTTTTTCAAAGCGAAGTCTTTGAGATAATGAAATAGGATACGTGTAATATCTTTATTTCTGGTTTTAAAAAAAATTAAACTGATTCAAAACCTTGATAGTGACGAAGATGGTTATACATGTCAGTAACAAATATTGTACACGCTGCCATGATGGACAGGGTTTTCAATATGTTATTTATAACTACTAACTAATACTCACGCAAGGAATTATGGTCTTTGAAATGATAAGATAGAACGCAACCTCCGACAACAACCAGTCCGAAAGGACTCTTGGATAATCCTTGAACAGACTACCGAATAGAAATTAAGTAAAATATTATAATTTAATTAGTAATATATTGTTTGCTTTTTCTATAGTTATAAAGTCCGCTGTAAAAGGAACTGACACACAGTCAAATAAAAAATGTAACAGCATGGGGAATTAGCGACGACATTTATTACATCAATTGTGATCATTCTCTCATAGTGTCAACGGCATGTGGTCAGATAACACAAATTACGCACTTTTTATACAAGAAGGACAACAGCAACAACCATAAGCAGCAAAATAAATGGCAAAACACCAATTGCTATAGTTTGAATAAAATAACACCATGCAAATGCAATCGAAATATCTTTTAATATAATTTCAACGGTATTTTCTAAACGTATTGGAATACTGCATTTTAGGCTTGGATAATCGGTACTATTTAATCGTTACTTATAAAACATGAATCTATTAAAAATAATGCATACATTTATTTTGCCGAAATTTATAGGAAAATGAATTTATATGCGCAACTATTTTTTACCAATTATACACACTGGTAGCTACTACACATTTAAGTAATTAATCATTTTATGATAATGGCATTACATGTCCGCCAAAGAAATGTTTTTCACATTTGAAAGAAATCGCTTGTATGTGTTAAGAGAGTTAACATTTTATAATGTTTGGAATGCAGCACAAACAATTATACCTATTGAATTTTTGAAAACGTTCAGATTATAGGAAGTGTTGCCGGTAGAGTTTCCGTCCAGAAGACTGTCAGGCGTATCAGTTTAAAACTAGGACGAAAACAAGCGTGCAGAGCGGTTAAGAAACTAGTCTGTAAGCCGTTAACGCCGAACTAATAAGGCTATAAACGTTCATAAACAACCCAGTAAAACAGTTTTTATTTCATGTTACTGAGTTCGACATCATTTAACAACTATTGAAGTATTATAAAATGAAAAGAGAGGTATTGAAATGTGTTAAACGACAAAAAAAGTTTAAAAAGTTACTGCTTAATAAAACAAAATAACCGAAATCATAATAATTACTTGGTAAATCTTGTTAAAGCGTGTATCTAGTTTGTGCTTTTTCTATTTAAGATCCGTCTACGATTGAAAGCATCAAATTTGAGCACACCAGCCTTAATCAACGTACCGCCGTTAAAAACACTATACGAGTCATAGAAAATGAAACTTACACATTGGTATGTGAAGCAATCAGCAAACCGGAGCCATCCTATAAATGGGCAGGGTTGAAAAATTCAAATATGTCAACCGTCGTCATAGTTAACCCACAAACACGACAGAACTATTCAGAAACATGTTTTGCAACAAACGTCATGCACATTTCTGATACCGAACCAGAGACAGTAACCGTTAGCAGACGTTTGGGTGTGGAGATTCTTTGTAATATACTTTCAATATTTGAAATAGTATTGGGATCAGCATATTTTACACAAGACACAGGCACACAATTAAGCAATTTGATACGTAGCTACTTATCATCTCCGTTTACATTACGCCATTTAAGACTGAAGGTGTTTCGAACAAAATAAAATGATATGTAGATAAATAAAACTCCTAGTAAAGAAAGTATCGAGTAAATTATGTACAAGTGATTTCAACATGCTTAAATGAAAACATTGTTCTAGAAATTTTGAAAACCACTCTAAATAACCGAACATTTTGCAATTTTCATTGGAATCTATATCATATCTCGACATTGTTTATTTAATTTTTGTGTATGCTTTTTAGATCCACCTAAAGTTAATGCAATGCTTGAAAAACGAGTTAAAGAAGGGACGGCTGTACAGTTAACATGTCCAATAACTCCTGGAAATCCAGCTGCAACGAGTTTTAAGTGGACACGGGCATCGGATAATAAACGATGGTTTAACGGATCGTTTACGATTCATAAAGTTTCTCGAAACGATACAATGACTTATACATGCATGGCAAATAACACAATGGTTATGACAGGAAACATAAACAGAATTGGGTCATCAAGCAAGAGCACACTCCTAAAAGTATTGTGTAAGTAGATATAATCAACATTTATTTTGGTAAAGAGGAGAAAATAATAACAATTATCTTCAACATAAAACCATGCAACATTAAATTTGGGCACAATCGAAAACAATATCATTATACGCTAATTCTTAATTTTGAATTTCTTTTTTAAATAGTCCAAAGTCCAATTAATAATTTTCCTGAATTTGAAACTTCAAATGTACTTTTTATGTCTGTGGAAAGAGTTGTTGCTAATGTTGTTATAACTTGTATCCCAACCCATTTGCACTTTACTTATAAATACATTTGTGCAATAAAATATTATTACACTAAAGTGATCTTAAAGGCGTGTTGCGAAATGAACGTTTTAAAGTATAACTTCCGTAGGGGAAAATTGATTGTTTAGTACTGTACTGTGATTGAAACACTATAGTATATGAATTATAAATAATGGCATGTCAAATATATTTCATTTTGCTATGACATTGTGGCTCGTCCAGATAGAGTGCCTTCTAATAAAGTCCAATGATAAACACTTTATTTGATTCGTAACACTTGCTTTTCATCGAAATAAACTATAGTCGGATTGTTTTCTATTTTATTTCACTTGAACTCACTCACTGTGAACTATTGTGATACTTTCTTGATCATTTCTCATTTACAAGAATAATAATTTATTATAATTCACGCCCTACATCTTGCCTTTTTTATCTTTTAAAGACCCGCCGAGTATTGACAGCATCAAATTTGAGCATTCCGAACTTACCAATCGCATCTCAGTTGCCACAACTATTTACGTCATAGAAAATGAAACTTATACATTAATATGTGAAGCAAGCAGCAACCCAGAACCATCATATAAATGGACGGGAATGAAAAGTTCAACCATTTCAACTATCATGATAATAAACCCATACACACGGCGGAACTACACGGAAACATGTCATGCAACAAACGCAATGAATTTCACTAATCACATACAAGAAACAGTGAACGTCAACAGAAGTGTGACCGTGGAAATTCTGTGTAAAAAAGATTTGATAATGATTTTGAATAATAAATGTTTAATATCAAAATTATAAATACACTATTTAATTATTATATACCGTACAATAAAATAATAAGATAAACAACTTAAGTTAAATGTAATATTATATAAATCATTAACACGGATATTAAAATTAATATGCGGGTCTAAACGTTGCTCGTTTCCCAGTAACCGTGCATGTGTATTTTTGATATTTTTTAATATAATCTGTATTTCTTTTGTTTATTTAGATCCGCCGACGATACATTCAATGGTTGATAAACGAGTGATAGAGGGGTCAGGAATTGAAATGAAATGTCCCATTACACATGGTAATCCAATTCTTACCAGTTTTTCATGGACGAGAGAATTAGATAACAGGCGCTGGTTTAAAAACTTATTAACGATTTATAAAGTTTCCCGGAACGATAGTATGATATATACATGTATTGCAAATAACACAATGGTTATGACTGGAAACATAAAACGAATAGGAACAGCAAGCAAGGACATTCATATGACAGTATTGTGTATGTACATGTATCTTACTCTATTTAATGATAAAGACAAACAGTATAGGCAAACAACGAAGACTAAGTTAACCTATCTAATTTAAAACAATTATGACAACTGTTATCTCTCTCGACATAAACATTTGACACTTTGACTATAATTTTATTTCTCGATATAATGATTTCTTGATAAAACGGACAAATATTTTAAAGAATTTTAGGTATCAGGTATTTCAAAACAATCCTGTAATGAAATACGTCATTTTAGAAAAATCAAAGTTATTTATTGCTTTGCGGAAATAAAACAGCTATATATCTAAGATATTTGAATAAATAAAGTAAGATCTTTTTTTCAAAGACGCAAACACATAGAAATGTTAATACATAATACATGTTATACTATAATAATGGAACTCTGTTTTTTGTTTAAAAAAATGTATTCATTATAAATCTTATTACGATATCAATGACTTTCTTTTACCAACAGATCCTCCAGACAAGCCGACAATATGTCTTGTCTCCATATCAAAATCAGATGATGTAAATTTAACAGTCACGGACAAGTTAATTGTTTTTGAACATACTCCTTTTACTTTGTCATGTAAAGCCAATAGCTTACCTATGCCAAATTATTCATGGGATCCAATGGCGATGTCAAATGATTCAGTTATACAAATTCCTGGCTTAACAAGGAACGGCACAGATGAAATCACGTGTTTTGTCAGAAATATAATGATTTCAACTGAAGGGAATTCAATGACAGGAAACAACAATAGAACAATCTCGATAGAAAAACTATGTAACATTACATACTTATTGTTTTTATTTTCGACAAATTTCCTTGAAAATATTTATTGTGATTCTGATATGATTGATCATATAATATTTGTTTATAGTGAATGATAAGTCAAAGTCTAAATATACAGTCGTGTGCGATTTATTAAATAAGCTTTCATGATCTAAACTATCAAATAAATGAATAACGATTTTTACTAAGGAAGATTTTTAATTATTGCCATATATAACTAATCACATTCCATGTTTAAACGCTGCTCTCCAACATCAACGGTTCTTGAAAAACTCGATCTATTGGTTTAAAGTTATTGAAATGCATAGAAGTAAGTTTTGAAGTTTCCATTCAATTGCTGTGACCTAACGTTTGTTATGATTTAATTGACTCAGATATAAACACCCTTATTATCACATTTGTTAACATATTTGCTAGTTTTGACATTTTTATAGACATAATTGTATTATGATGTATTGTGCAGTAATCGCATTTTGTTCTTTCCCCAACCAACTGATCTACCTGTTTTTATACTTTAAGTCACTATATACAAAATAAATCGTTGCAACGATTTGAAATTACAACAGCATATACGTTGCAAATACTTTAATTAGATGTTTTTTGTCAGACAAGACCTGCATTAACCATCTTCTTACATACAAATGTATGATCTAGGGTGAAAATTTTATCTTTTGATGACATATTATTTAAAAACCACTCAAACTACAATGTGTGGGATAGCAGCTTTAATTTGGGTTTTATAGAAATTAACTTTAAATAAAAGTGAACAGCATGTAAACGGCCGTGAAAGTGGTAATATGTCGGTTTCATTTGTGTTCTGAATAAAATTTCAGTTTCTCCAGAAATTGGACATATGAATAGTATAACCTCGGAGGAAGGAACAAATGTCGACTTTGTATGTCCTGTTAAAGACGGAAATCCTCACCAGACACATATTAAGTGGACAAGAAACAGAGATGGGAAACAATGGCTCGGATCAAAATTTACGTTAGAAAACGTTTCAAGAACAGACAGTATGACATATACATGTATGGTCAACAACACCATGATAATGACAGGCGGTTTAACAAAATATGGGGAAAATAATAAAAGTATCAATCTAAACGTATTGTGTAAGTATAAACACAATTATCGGTTTGGATTACAGGTCTAACTGTGTCTATGTTTGTATCGTAGTTACCTAAATTTAATTATGTTCTGTTTACATACTAAAATTATCAGTGAGATATCTCAGACTTTTATCTGAATTTGAAATATTTTCTCCTGCTGATCAATAATACTTGTGTGAGCCTTAGCCATAAATATATACTATTTGTCGACAATGAAGGTTTTATAAATAAAATCCCAAAATACGTTTTCTTCCTTTTTACGGAGGGCATAAGTGCCAAGTGTGTGTTTTTTATTAACTCGAAATTCCGACTAAGTAACTCAAAATGTCGACTTACTAACTAGAAACTGACTCGAAATTTCGTGTGGGACATCTGAGGAAAGTACCGCGGAGTGGCCAAAATAGGGCATGCTCAGGCCTTTGTCAAATTTGTTGGACTGACTATATTTCTTGTAAAATCGGATGCTATAATATTATTCCCAACATGTATATAAAACAATAAGACATTTTTGTCACTTTTATCAACTTTTATTAAAGTCTAAGTAAATAAATGAATATAGAAAATGTGACAAACATCATTTAAAAATGTTACAAACACTTTATTCGTGTAAAGAAACTTGTCAGACTTACTGGCGGATACACGCCATAAAAAACGTAGTTAACACATAAATATTGCTAAATTGTCAATAGGGTTGGTTTTGGATTTGTTGTATTTCCACATGATGGTTGCATGTGCGCTTAAGACATAAGAAACATCCGGTTAACAAAGTGTGATCATTTATGCCAGCACTATTAAGTGTTGAGAATTGAGTACCACTCAAGTCGGTGCTAGGGGGCGTGAGGGATGCTGCACGTATTCATTATACCTCATGTACAGACTCAATCTAACCGAGTCTGCAATACTCTTGTAATTTTGTTGTGATTAATGCTTCCGAGGGATCACTTTGTTTCCAGATTTTTATACTTCACAACAGCAGGTGTCAAGTGCTGTGTGGCAGCTGTAAAAAGTTGCCCCGTACTTCACTTCAGTGTTGTTATATTGTCTGGTCCTTCGGGATCATTGATGCTAGCGCTATTAAGTGTTGAGAATTGAGTACCGCTCAAGCCGGTACTAGAGGGCGTGAGGGATTGCACGTATTCATTTTCCCTCATGTACAGACTCAATCAAACCGAGTCTGCAATTCTCTTGTAATTTTGGTGTGATTGATGCTTCCGAGAGATCACTTTGTTTCCAGATTTTTACACCCCTCTCCTCTACAAAAAAGCAAAGAAGAAAATGGGATCTGTTCCATGTGTGTGGACAATTTGACCCTATCAAATTGTTCTGTTAAATACATAGATGTTCTGTCAATGTGCAGCAGCAACACATGAAAGAAAGTATCATGAATTCAATCCTTGCTTTTACCAACAACCAATGTAAGTCGTGCAATGTAAGTCGAAATTTCGAGTTACTAACTCGAAATTTCGACCTTCTAACTCGAAATTTTAAGAAACTTATCTCAAAATTTCGAGTTATCAACTCGAAATTTCGAGTCACAAAAACGAAATTTCGAGTAAGTTAGCCAAATTTCGAGCTAGTAAATCGAAATTTCGAGATAAGTAACTCGAAATTTCGAGTAAATAAAAAAGATACACTTATGCTCTTCCGTACCTATTTGTATCAGTGTCAGTTTTAGAAGGCCGTCAAATAGTTTATAGCATAGTTTTTAAAATTAAAAATTAATCTGGATATTTCTACCGAAAACAGTTTAAGAAGATAGATTATTGACAAACGTAACAATGATAACGTTTTTTTTGTTTCTTATTAAAAATCAACGTTATCAATTCGTCTTTCTGTTACAGATAAAGTTGTTGTAATGAAATTTCTAGCAAATGATTATACAACGAATGACAGCGTGACATTAGCAGAGGATCAATTGATCAATCTTAAATGTGAAATCGAGGGTAATCCAGCACCTGAAGGAAGCATCTTCAGTTCAGAACAACTTCATGTAACAAAGTCTTTTAATGGGAGTTATTCAATATTTTCTGTAACATTTAAAGCAACATGTTTTCATACAGGAGTATACACATGTAGAGGTTCCAATTTTATCAAACAAGAAGAAATTTCTGAAAGAGATATAACATTATTCATAACATGTGAGTATTGAACGTTAAGTACTTTATTGAATAGTATTTGTGTTTAAACAGCACCATACCTAGAGCAATCTTTTTTTTTTATTGTGTGAGTTAAATTTCGACTCGCCTATATCCTTTACCACTCGCATGGCTGTCTTCCTTTTAGTAATCAAAGTTATAAAAATGTGAAAGATTAATAAAACACTAACTTTATCCAATAACACGTTTAAATATGCATCAAAGATATACATGCAATTTTCAGTATAGAACTAAATAAAAGCTTATTCTGTATTTGAACTATTGATTTTTATTGATTTGTATATATTTTTATCAGCGACAAAGTTGAAATAATTTTCTTTTCTTTTTAGCAATGCGTTATGAAAATGATATCAACTTATTTTTTATCAAGTTATTTAACAATAAACTGAACGATAAAATTACTCACGCGGCCTAAGGAAATGTCTGTAGAGTAGGGCAGTCTTTCCATATTAAGAAAGAATTGTATTTTACCTTTAACATTTTTAGATATCAATCGTTGGTCAATCTCCATTATAATACTGTTAAATAATCTATATTTGTAAGATGGATATTTTCAAACTATAACCAACAATTATTTTAGGTTCACCAAGACAAAATCCTACAATGCCATTACAAAGAAACATTAAAATATCAAAATATGAAACCATGAGTATAAACTTCACAGTGCTAGCATATCCTGAACCAACCAATATTTTATTGAACAAACATAACGGGAAATCATGGATACCTATGAATGACAGCGACAACTATAGTATTACCTATGAAGGTGTTGACATTCAATTCACAATTCTTCATGTTTCGCAAGAGGACTATGGAAAATACAAGCTTATTATCAAGAATGATTATGGAACGTATGAACACATTTTCTACATAGAGCATGCAGGTACGTTTTAACTCGAAGGTTAACGTGTATATCGATAGTTGGTGCTAGATGAAGGTGTAAATCGCATAAAATCATTCACATTGTATCAAAAACTAAGTGCCCATGTCTGAGAAATTAGTGTCATTGACTTCAAGTCGCTTGCTTCATACCATTATGGGTTCGTATACTGTTAAAGAAGATTCTATCCGGCTAGTTTATGAAATGTCAGCGGTTCTTCTAATATGCCCATTCGTGTCTAAAGCCTCTCTCCTTCAGTTTACGTAATGTCATTGTGTGAGCCTTACGGTATTAAAGCGATGTAAAACAAAAAAAAAATGAAACAAGAAACAACACAGCAAGACAATTATAATTACAAAATGTACATTTTCATATATATCTTATTCTTTACTTCCGTTTTTGTAAAGTCATTTGAAATATTTATTGTAAACATGTTCTTCTTTTATAATGATTATAGCAATGGAGTACTCTACTTCTGAACCTCAAAACCCAGCAAATAATTATGGACTCACCGTTGGACTCCCTGTGATAGTACTCATTACCATCTCCGTTACAGTTGTTAGCATAATTTTATACAGAAAACGGTAATTAACTTTTTATTCAATAATTATTGTTTTACAACAAGTTTTTATTTGATCTTTCTTTTTTAATTATATTGAAACAATTGACATATACTAGTATAGTTTTTCGTATAAGAACAATATTGCTTATCAAATATTTATGGGAAAGAGACATTGTCATCATGTACAAACCTTTTTCTCTATATTTCTTCCAGTCGTATAAAATTCTTACATAATAAGAGATCTAGCAACACAAGATTGATATCTAGTTTCGATTTCTCATTAATTTTAAAATGGCGAGTTTGTTTGTTTGATTGCGTTTTACGTCACACCGACAAAGTATAGGTCATATGGCGACGTTCCAGCTTTACTAGTGGAGGAGGAACTCAGGTGCCCTTCCGTGCATTATTTCAGGCACGAACTGGCACCTGAGTAGAACCATTGACATTCCGTAAGCTAGCTGGATAGCTTCCTCACATGAAAGAATCCAAAGTCCATGTCGGGATTCGAACCCACAGCGGTAAGGGGCAAGTGGTTTGAAGTCAACGACCTTAACCACTCGGCCACGGGCGCCCCCAAATGGCGAGTAGTTGTCTTGAGCACATTGACTAAGTAGCAAATAATAATACACAAATAATAGTTGTGTGACAAGTGTGTGGCAGTGTTTAAAGTGAAAATGCTATATATTTCTTGAGAAGAAACAAAATTGCATATACAAAATTCATAAAATAAATTTGAATCAGATAGCATATTTACGAAACATGTCAATGTGTCTTATTTAATTGAACAATAAGATAAACAAGAATAATTATTGACTGTTTGTTTAAATACGCTCGAAAATAAAACGCTGGTAAAATTATTTCGTGAAGGCATACAAGTTGAAATGTGTAGTCATCTTTGTAGCGTAACGTTCATCTATGCTATTTACTGTAATGCTATTTGAATCGAAATATATGCAATGAACAATAAAATAAACACTATAAATGTTAACAAAAGCAAACAAAAAATGTCAAATCTCTTGCGGTATGCTTTGAGATACATGTATTGTAAAAAAAAATACAAACAAAAAAACAACAAAAAATAAAAACAACAAAAAAAAAACCCGGCGAATTCCGCCTTTTAACACATAATCAAGTACTCACTTAATCCTTTTGAAGGGATTATATGTTTAAAACATTTCGTTTGATTTTTACAAACTTTTAAAATATGTCAGCTATGACAAAATATTGCACTCATTTGTTAAATATTTTACTTTTATCACAGGCAATTTTATTTATTAATTTGTTTGCATACTTTTAGCACGTGTCTAGTCTTAAGAGAAATATTTCATAAACAGCAAAATGAAAGAGAAATGGCTACAACAAACCTGTATCAAAATACTACAGGTAAAAATTGCTTGTTATAAATAATTATGAGAAAGATTTTGGAAAGAATGAAATTATGTGTTACTTCTACATTTTCAACTGATGACATTCACATTACAGACACAGTTAAAGTTTAATCCGTGTCTTATTTACACTTATTCTTATTTCTAAACGTCCAGTAAAGCCAAAATAATTATAAAATTTGTCCAGAAACATGGTAAGCATCATTTCACTGAATCATTTTCAGTAATCAAAATTGTTCACTTGTTAGGCGTATTTTTTAATATGGTACGTAACTCTTTTCACTATAAACGAATTCATATTGTTTGATTTATCAGACACTTGGCAAAGTATTATAAAACAGTCAGAAACTAGAGAGACATAAATGTCACGATGTTGAATCAATTTGCGACTCATGATCGATAATACGTACTATGATCTTTATAAAGCCCAATATTTCAATGATTATCCGTCTCATTACAAACTTAATCATGCGAATGATATAATATTCAAGAGTTCATTCACTAGAATTTATGAAATAGAATTTGTTTATTACATGTTACTTAAAAAAATGTTGCTTCTTTCCACTGGCAACCTTAATACAGTTTTTTTAATAAGACATAGTTCATTTATTTGCATAGGTGGCGAGAGAGAAAATGATGAGCATAAAAGAGAGTACGAAATGATTCAAAGGAATACACAGGAAAGGGACATACCTATTTATGAAAAATATAAATCTGGTAAGGACAAATACCTCAAAATTCTTTTTTTATGAATTATCGCACTACTCTTTTCATCATAGTTTGTTTTTGTGTCGCCTTGAAAAGGCGACATATAGGGGTTACTTTTGACGGCTTCGGCGTCGTTGTCGGCGTTTGCGTTGGTGTCCCCTTATGCTTGTCCGGAGCATAAGTCAGTTATTATAAGTCAGATTGACTTTTAACTTTGTATGCATGCTTCTTATAATGTCTCAAAGTGCACAAGAAACGGTACTCTGCACTTCTTAATTTTTGAGTTATTACCCTTTGTTAATTTTTATACTTTATTATTGTCCGGGCAATTTCTCCTAATGTATAAAAGCTATGGACTTAAAACTTCAAATGATGATAGATCTCATTAAGAAGAAGTGCAGTGCACAAGAACCGGTACTCTGCATTTCTTTTTTTTTTGAGTTATTGCTCTTTGTTAATTTTCATACTTTATTTTTGTCCAGGCCATTTCTCCTAAAGTATAAAATATATAGACTTGAGACTTCATATGATGATAGATCTCATTAAGAAAAAGTGCAGTGCACAAGAACCGGTACTCTGCATTTCTTTTTTTTTTTTTAGTTTTTGCCCTTGTTAATTTTCATATTTTATTGCCAGGCCATTTCTCTTAAAGTTTAAGAGCTTTCGACATGAAACTTCATAGGATGATAGGTCTCATTAAGAAGTAGTGCAGTGCACAAGTACCGGTACTTTGCATTTCTTTTTTTGAGTTATTGCCCTTTGTTAATTTTCATAACTTCATATGATGATAGATCTCATTAAGAAAAAGTGCTGTGCACAAGAACCGGTTCTCTCAATTTCTTATTTTGTGAGTTATTGCCCTTTGTTAATGTCCATACTTTATTTTCGTCCGGGCCATTTCTCCTAAGGTATAAAAGTTATGGTCTTTAAACTTCATAGGATGATAGATCTCATTAAGAAAAAGTGCAGTGTACAAGAACCGGTACTCCGCGCTTCTTTATTTTCTTCATTTTTGTCCTGACCATTTCTCCTAAACTATATTGTTCACAAGGCGATACATCTGACTCGCGGAGTTCTAATCAAATTGAAGTAACAGCTGCTATTAATCTAATATAATGGAGATGACATAAGCAGAAGGAAAGGTTATGAAACAAGTAAGACTTTTAGACCCCTTAGACTTCTCGACCACTTAGGCTATTAACATGACCTCTAGACCCCCTGACACAAGGACCTCTTTTTGGATAATTATATATTTAATGTTTTGTTAAATAACAGTAAGGATATATTAATTTCTTTAATTAATTAGATTGTAAATATTTTGTTAAGCTGGGACATAATTTATATGAAATAAGGTGCCAGACAAAAGTAAAGGAACTATATTTATAATAGTGCACAATTTGTGCATTTTGTGTTAATTCATATCTACATTTTTTTAAAGATTTGAAAAGATTTAATAGTTTATTTTTTCCGTGTGAAACACATGTATGTTATATTGGCAGTGACTATTTATGCATGTCTACTTATTTAATGTTATATATTGAGTTAATTTGTCTGTAGTTTCTTATATTGTAATTTTAAGATAAAAAATGAAATTAATTTTGAAAATTCCTTTTATTTTAATTGTTTACATCTCGTATTTCATATAGTATTATGCATTCCATAATTTAAACGTAGTATTGCCTAAAATACTTCAAGAGTAATATTTTCGTTAGCAAACGTAATTATGAACAAATCTTGATTTTCTTTAATGTCTTTAAGTCAAAATTTTTCCTATGACTTTCTTTTATTTATTTAACGTATACCAATACACGCACATGTATTTCATTAAAATGATTAAAAGACTAATGGTTGGGCCAATTTGACTAATTTAAGTGCCCATTTGACTTATTTTTAGGCCGATCTGAATTGGGGCCGATTTGACTTGTTTGTAAACATGGACAAAATGATAGTATTTGCTAACAAAAGTGTGAATCACAAATAACTAATAGAAATGTATTCACATTTTTCAAAATATCCAATGTAATTTCATATTACTGTAATTATATATAAAATTACATACATACTATGCTTTCTGTTTAAATGTTATGCGTGTGTTACTGTTGTTTACATATTAAATATTTTGTATTTTTCTTGAAATATTGCGAAATTAATAACAAAGAAAAAATAAGAGGGTTAATTTCAACTACATTTAAGGATAGTTCACTGTTGAAGCTGGCGTCTGCTGCCGTATGATATGTAGTTGTTTACAGTTTTGTCATGCGTAAATTGCATGGACCATAAATAAAAAAAAGTATTTCCTTCACGTACAGACTCAATCAAACCGAGTCTGCAATTCTCTTGTTATTTTATTGTGATTAATGCTTCCGAGGGATCACTTTGTTTCCAAATTTTTATACTTCACAACAGCAGGTGTCAAGTGCTGTGTGGCAGCTGTAAACAGTTGCCCCGTACTTCACTTTAGTGTTGAAATATTTTTCTGGTCCTTCGGAATCATTGATACTAGCACTATTAAGTGTTGCGAATTGAGTACCGTTCAAGTCGGTGCTAGGGGCGTTAGGGATGTTGCACGTATTCATCATCCTTCATGTACAGACTCATTCAAACCGAGTCTGCAATTCTCTTGTAATTTTGTTGTGATTAATGCTTCCGATGATCACTTTGTTAACTAGCATTAATATTGTGTCTAGTAACCGCCAAGTTATTGCATTAACAGACACAAGGAATTCATTTAAAACTTTTAAATTCCGTTTTGATATACTGAGAAGTGCTAGTTTTCAAATAGGGCAAAAAAGTGTAATAATGCAGACAGAGGAAAAACTGTCTGAGGCAATAAGCAGAATTGGACTGTTTTTGGTAGTTAAACAAGCTCATTTGTATTATGATCAATCCGGTACAAGTCATATTCTTTTGTATTTTAATGATTTGCTAAGTAGTGCGTATATATGCCATGTTATATACGAGGTAGATTTAGTTCAAACACATAAGTTATTGATTGGTCTAAGGAAGCATGTCGGAAAAGTACAAATTAATGTCAATTAGTGAAGTAAATTAAGTTCTTGTAGTGTATATACTTTAAAACATACCACAAGATTTTAGGCTCATAATTAAGAAATCATGTAAGTGATAATAATGTTGTTTTAAGTCTAAGTGGTAAATGCGTTGCAAGAGATCAAATTTTAAAGGTCAAGGTCGCCATGGCTCTTTATCAATAAAGACTCATTTTATATGCCCGAAAAAACCTCGGGCATATTATGTTATACCCCTTGCGTCCGCCCGTCCGTCCGCTCTAACGGGACCGTAATGATGTAGCTAGAGGAACAATAGGTAACTGTTCTTTCTCTTTAATGTTATTTATTTTCCCTTAATTTTTATGGGCTATTTCTTTTTTTGTGGCCTAAAAAGAATAATGGATGAACAATAGAGTACCATTAAATTTCTGTCCCCTTAAAAAGTCCTCCCTCCTTAGCATTTGTTTCCGGAGCAAACTTTTAAACCCTTTTTTCCCACAAAATTCAAACTTAATAGGATATTTTTCCATTTAAGTAAAAATTATCGGTTTTATTATCGATTTTGGGGGCACAGGGTCAAAGGTCACGGTCACTATAACCTTAAAACTGAAAACAGTTTCCTGAGCATAACTAAAGTTCCATTTGGCCCACAGTATTCAATCTTCATAGGATGATTGTCCATATTGGGTAAAACACCGCTATCGATTTTGGGGTCACAAGGTCAAAGGTCAAAGTCACTATTACCTTAAAACCGAAAACAGTTTCCGGAGCATAACTTAAGTTCCATTTGGCCAACAGTATGATGATTGTCTATATTAGGTCAATGACTCCCATTGATTTTAGGGTCACAATGTCAAAGGTCAAGGCCACTTTGCCTTAAAAAATGAAAACAGTTTCCGAAACATAACTTAAGTTCATTTTGGCCCACAGTGTTCAAACTTCATATGATTGTCCATATTAAGTAGAAGACTCCTATTGATTTTGGAATCTTAACGTCAAAGGTCAAGTTCACTGTTACCTTAAAACTGAAAACAGTTTATGCTCAACTCAAGTATTAATCAACCTACAGCTATAAAATTTTATAGGATGGTTTACCAAGTCCAGTTCATGATCCCTATTAGAATTATGGTCATAAGGTTAAAGGTCAAGGTCACAATGACCTTTACACTGAAAATTGTGGTTTCTTGAGCATAACTTAAGTTCCATTTGGCTAACAGTGTTCAAACTTCATGGTGCCTATATTGAAAAAAAGATCAATATCTTTATTAGGGGTCACAAGGTCAATATCAAATGATCTTAATATTGTCAACAGTTTTACAACTGTCAACATTTATAAGGTGATCACTTATATTGAGTACATTACCTATGTCCTAAAAATTTGCTTATATTATATCATACCCCTAGCGTCTTTCCGTCCGTCAGTCGTAGCATTTTTACTTACAAGATAACAACTTGATTGTGGTGCTTTGAAAACAGCAACTGTATACATTTAGTGGTTCTTCAGCTATAAAGAAGGATTGCTTTTTGAAGGAGGTAATACTTTATTTAATTCACATGTCCTATTACAAATGCTTCATCCTTACAAAAAAAAAAAAAAAACACATTCGGGCATATAATGCTCCGCCTAGCGTTATCTATGAACTCATTGCACTGTGTCAGTAAATGCAAAAGTGAGCATAAGTGCCATTTGAATAACTAGTTACACAGTTAGCATGTCTGTGTGCCGATTTCAACAACGTTCCGGTCATATCTCACATATCTCGGAAGTTCGAAACTGTACCAATTAGAAAAGATGGAGAAAAATAAAGAACGCGTCGGATCAGTAATCTAGGGACAGTTGTCTGCATGGGTTCAAACCACGTCAGAAGCAAGCCATTATTTCCATGTGCGAGAAACTTTACGCTAATGTTCAGTACTGGTTGGTCCCAGGAATGGATTTCAAGAGTGTGTCTTTATCGAACTAAAATGAATTCTGTATAAACCATCCGTTGAATTTCGAATCCTCTGATATCCTATTAAATTATTAGTTACCACCCGGACGAACTGCAGAAATTTACAAAGGTAACCATCTTTCTACATTAAACCATGGAATAGCTGTCAAATGATTGTGATCGTGAAAATTTCACAACACAAGAAATTGTGTAGTGTGGTATTCCTTTGGCAGACATTTAGCAAAATCAGTACTGTAGTAATGCACCATGATTCAATATATTAATATATATTTTTCATCATTTTTTTTCAAAGAATATACACATCTTTTATAGATTTCTTCGAGTATTTTAGACAAGATTAAACTCCTCAGTAAAAATCAGTAACACTATTTTATTTCAGAAATCGAAAAAGTCGATGACTCTGAACAAGCTTACGAGAAACTAGCGGACGAATTCAAAGTTACAAATAAGTACAGTGTGCTTCATGCAATTGACAAGAGAACAGATGGTATTGAACTTGATGAGGATGTTTCAAACTGCGAAAAGAAAGACACCGCCATATATATCAATATGAAAATATAAAAAGCCAAGCCGTCCGTCAAAACACACAGGAAAATCACTATTCATCACTTTTCTTATTTTGATGTTTAACGTTTACACATTTTCGATTACTTCTCGGTGGTCGATGCACCTAACATGTAGCTAAGTCAATTATCAATGACTCGACTGGCGGCTTACTACTAATCAGATATGATTTCAGAGACAATTGACCGTAAATCAATAAATTAAATCTTGAAAAGGTTATATGACAGTAGAAATATGGACTATGATTCTAATCTGTAATGAGAATTAAAAAAAAAAATGTTATAATATCTAATATGAATTTGCCAAGAGCATATAAAATGGTTCATAGAACATTACCTATTTTGTACGTTAAATATGTGAAGTAGTATGGCATTTTTGCACTTCCAGAAAAGTAACGGCAATTAAAAGTCTTAAAGTGCAAGGTCCTATGGGCGTGAGAGATGTTGCACTTTTCATTATCTCTCACGAATAGACACAATCACACCGTGTCTGCAACTTTCATATTATATTATATGTTACAGTTTCTGTGGTATCGAGGAATCACCCTTTTCCCTGATTTTGATAATTTTCGTATTGTTCTACGGGAAAATGAAAAGATAAATTATGAGAATTTACATCGATTGTCAATTACACCATGTTTCTCTCTGTAGATTTAATACAATGCTTGATAGGCGATTTTATATTTGTACTTAATGCGACCTTTTATCGTATTGTGACAACGTAGTGATTTGATGTACTACAACGATACGTGAAGCTCATCACAAATTTTATATAGAAAAATAATATATTGATAAACATGTTTATAGGATTAAAAACAGTTAATACTTTTCAATAAGAACTATATGCTGTGGTAAACCCCCCGCCGAATGTGTTTGCTTGTTGGTGAAATGTAATTGTTGAAGAGCAGATAAGTTAAGACTAGTACCTGTTTAAAGATATGTCCGGAGAAAAAAATATTGGATATTATATGAACAATTGGCCTACAATTTCCATTTGTGTCACTGCACCTCTAAAAAGTATCATATTTTTGATTATGTTTATTTTCATTTTCGAGTGTATCTTGCATAGTTTTGAATTACTGACTCGTATTATATAGACAATATAATTTTAAAATTGAAATTGGCTGCATTTCTCCTTTCTCCAAATGCAGGCATTTTGCCGTGCTCCCTGGCCGCATCAATTTTTTCTCTTTTTTTTTTTTTTTGGTTGTTTTGATTTTATTTCTTAACTGATCGTTTAACGTTTGTTAGAGGTCCTCTACTCGGGACAGAGGGTATGGGACGCACAGCACCTCTGTAAGTTTATATCCTTATTTAAAAAGGTCATGTTGAAGGATACCATGTTCTAAAAATACACTATTTTCTTTTCCCGATTTTATGTTATTTTTTATTGTCAGTTGAATATGAACATGTCACATTTAAATTTATGCTATGTTTTCTTGTTTTACGTGTATGTCTTAACAATGTACAGTTACACACTTTGCATAATAAATAACCCCACTTGATTCTTTCTTGAAACTTATAAATGTTGAATTTGTTATTCTTTTTTGTCCTTGAAATTATAATAAACAGATTTAGCATATTAATATATAATTGATTTGTTCCTGAAAGTGGTAAAAGTGTTTTTTTTTTTAAATAATTCTTATCTTTGTAATAGATTTAGCATATTAATATATCTTAAGTTATCAATTATTAAGCATTGCTCTTTAAAATCAGTATGTTGCACTTTTTAATAAAAACATATCAAAGAAGTCTTTGCACGTGTATAAGTGCATGGGAAAAGTGGCTATTAAGATATTTATATTTTGCACTTCGGTCTTGTTCATAATAGTACTGTGAGTTTTTGCAGTCATTGCAGTTTTGAAGCGCGAATAAAATTAATAAAATAAAATATATTCTTCTCTAACTTATGACATTTTGGTAGAAAAAAAACAACATTGCAAACTGACAAAATGAACAAAAAATGTAAGTTCTTAAAGTATGACACATGTATGAAACAAATTTGTGTTACACTTTTCATTTTGTAAATTGAGTTGTTATACAGCAAAACAATATCGTAAAGCTTTAATTAAAAAATAAATTAGTAAATAAAGTTGAACGCATGATATAACGACTATACACTCATAGATGTGTTAAGCTATATTCTGATATGTTATATTGTAAGTTAAGTTGTATGAATACATGCACACCATAACAATCTATTGGTATTTTTGGACTAAACTTTTTATATAAAATATTTATCTATAGATATGCAATATCATGTAAGAAATCATTTTTTTAAAGATATTCAAGGTTGATTACACATTCAAAAGTAGATTAAGCTGCATAGTTTAATTTAGCTAGCCTTAGTGGCATTATATTTGCTATGGTTGTAAGATACACCTCTAGAAAAATAGTTTGCCTAGCTTTGCAGGTCGTACAATTTCAATTATATATTTTTTTAATGTATCTGTAATAAATGAAATCAGCATCTTCTGACAGACGAGGAGACAAATATATGCGAATAAATTGGGAAAATCTTTGCTTATTAAGCTTTTCTTGATTCCAATTTTCGGTCATATCCAGGTTAATTCCTGTGTAAAAAATTAAGGGTACACTTTCGGACAAAGTCTGACAAGATGACTTAAAAGTCATTTGCATACCATATTCTTCTAAGCTTAGTGACTAGCAATTTAGATTGCTTACCTTTATATAAATCGGCTTGAATAGTCTCATAGTATCTCAATATGTAATAATTTGAAATATTTGCATAATTATTTAAGAAATAAAATATTAACTATTATGATTTCAAATCTGCATATAATACACTCTAATGCTTTAAATATGATCGTGCCGTACTCTATCAGGCAAGTCAAAAATGACATTTATTCCTGTATTTGAATATACATCCATAATTAATGCTTGTACGTCATCCTTTGGCTCAATTTTGTCAGTGTGACTTACAAATTGACAAACAATATAAAATAATTAATTATACAAGCTTTAAAACCATATGCAATTTATGTTCTTATGACAGCATTATATTCGTTATTGGTCGATTACTTTCAACACAAAGTATATCTCCGGGAATTCATTTTTACCTCGCCTTAATGTTTTTCTTCATATCTATAATCAGTGTGGTCATCTGATATTTTCTGATGACTTATGTGTGGAGTGGATACATTTTCCTTTTATTCTGAGCATTGTTATAGATTAAATTATCGCTAAAACAAACGATCATATTAAGATAAGTTCAAAAATGAAATAATCAGTCAGTGCATCGTAAATTTAAAGACCACTATAAAATCATGTCTCTTTCTGGAGATAATAAAGCAAAGTTTGTGTTTGTTTTTTGTTTGCATGAATAAAAAATGTAACGCAAACGCGTTTTGTTGATATATAAAACTTTTAACATATATGCAGTCAAATAAAACCTGTTTTGTAATGAAAAGTTGAATTTATTATCTCTATTACAATGATGCATTTGAACATTTGAACGGACTGAAATATTACGTATATACAATGAAGCAAATCAGGTAGACATGTAAGGGAAACGCGTGCATTTGTTCATGTATTGAAACAAAAATGAAAACGGAAAGTTAGGCAAGAAATTAAACAACCCATTAAAACAATATTCTTTTATACTGAAGCCACACTACCTTCCACTATAAGGGGGGGGGGGGGGGTTTAACGACTGTCTGAACTTTTTTAACTGCTTGGAAACTGAAAACCAATAAGTTGGATGATATTATTTATTAAAATGAGCAAAGAACTCATCGGGCTAAGCATATCTGTACCACGTAGACATGCTAGTATATAATCACGTATTGTTTTGTGAGTAAGATTCTTTAAAAAGCGTACCACGCTGAATTCTCAGAATCAACTACATTATAAAATATATGCATGCAAGCAAAAAGATTTTGTCATGGTTAAAAGAGGAAGAAAGAATAAAAAAAGATAAATATGCTATTAATGTGCTTTGATAATTTTTTAGCTCTTTTATTTGTTATTTTCTAAGGCCACACATGTTACATTAATATCTCAATATATCACACAAAGTACAACATATTTTTTGTTTGTTTCTTGCATGTTTTCGATAAAACACTGTTACAAATACTCGTATGTAATTCTAACTGAAAATGATTCATATATTTTTAACCCTTGTGCAGTAAAAAATTGAAACACAATTTTATACATGTTTGGAGCATACTGGTAATCGTGAAGTAAAGTTGGAAATGACCTTTTCAGTGAAGAAAAATCGAATTAATAAAATCATATTATAGTTCTTTTCACTGAAACATTTAACTTAAAACCAATGTGACTGATTAGCTCAGTTAACCGACTCTATTTCACTTAATGATGTGAGTTGGAATTCCGTAAAAGACATTGAACTATTTCATGTGAAAAAGCTTTCCATCTAGAAAAACCTAAAATGTCAGTGGTACAACCCAGGTGTACGCTCCTGTCCGAACGAAAGAAAAAGGAAGCTGGGGTTTTCCTTTACCAGTTAAGCTGGAATGTTATGGAATGAACTGAAAAGTGTTTGTATGAATTCGAACGCAACAAAACAATCATATATATCTACTCCTGCAACATTACAGCGATGTTTGAATTTCAATATTATACCAAGCAGACGATTATAGGGAGAACAAACTGTTTATGCCATGACTTGTCTTAGGTCTATAGACTTGTCTTTAATGCAATGTGGTTAAAGCGAGTATTTTAACCTTCTACTTTCATACACTACCATATCTTCGTGTGCCTGGAGAAAAAAGAGTACTCAGACTGTTAACATAAAAGCTAGGTTTACACTACAACCTCCTTATTCAACATTAGGATCTCTAACTTCAACATCTATTAAAGGAATAATAAAATTATTCATACGATATGATTATTCGAGTTGTATTGGTTTTTTTTTCGAACAGTTATCGGACAAAAACAAAATTAATATTATTATATTAAATATTATGCCATTTAGTAAACGATTCACATAAAAGTTCGCCTTAACACCTACAATTC